GTCGCATCCTGATGCCAGGTAGCTGCTGAATGGGTCGAGGAAAGGCTGAGCTCAGAACAACGGGACTGGGTTTCAAGACACCAGGTGCGACCACTTCAGTCAAGAGACGCGCAGCTTCTCCGCATTCGTCAACTCCGAGACCATTCCGAGCAATGCCCAACAGGCCACAAGCGCGATGATGGGATCGGCTTTGGGGCTGGCGAAGGTGAACACTGTGACAATCGCAGATATGCCAGCGAAGCAGAACATGGCCAGTGCCAGCATCACTTCAGGAGGACCCTTGTAGTAGTCTGCAACCACGCAAATGTTCAAAGAAGTGGCGGCCACGATCCAGCCACAGTGGAGCGAGAAAGGTGCGCGCAGAAGCCAATATTCGGAAGTGGACATCTCTTCAAGGAAATCCAATCGCAAAATGCCCACCATGAGTGAGATCAGGATGCCTGCCATGCAGGTCATGGCCCCAATCATGATCTCCTGCGCGAAGAAGAGAGTCCAAGCACACTGGAAGAGGCACGCGCTCAGCCACCACGGGGTTATGGTTTTCACCAACATGCTCCCACGATAGGACGGGAACATTTGCGCCACAGCAAAGACGCCCTCCCAAATGAAGATGGGGCCCCAGATGGAGAAAGCAAATCCTGAGTCCAATGTTCAAAACTGTTCTGATCTTGCAACTTAGCTCGCTCATTCTGCTCGCCCTGAACCCGACCTGATGGCGTGATGAGGGTGTGGTACTTCGCGCTCAGGCTGCTGTTTGTTGGGCCAAAGGCCCCGGTCAAGGATCCATAGGTGATGCCCAAGTTCACCTCGGAAAGCAACAGGCAAAACTGCTGCTGTGCTGCAGCCGCTGCTTTGTGCTCTGCCTCCTCAGGCACTATTCGGTTCACACGGCCGGGTCGCAAGGAAAGCTGCCAGATTCAGCAGGTTCAACATGCAGCCTCCCTCTCCGGCTTTTCCCATCTTACTCTCAAGGAAGATGCGACACAATCGGCTACGAGCTACTCCTGAGCCAGAATCTGCGGCATCAAGCTGCTTGGACTTGCGATCCAAAGCCAACAGCGTGGGAGAGATGTGCATCTATGGTGTCTCGGCTCTTCAATCCATTTACTTGCTCATGCGGCTGCAGCATGTGCAGATGCTCGGGCCTGGGGTTGGCAATGTGGCCCTAGAGCTCGGTCGCATCTGGACACCCGGTCGCTGCTAGAGGCCGTGAGGCTGAGATCGCAAAACCTTGGAATGATATGAGATGACCCTATAGCGGGATCGTCAGGAGGTTTCCTCACTGCGAAACATGCACAAATGTGGCGCTCTACTGTGGCTTACTCATGCTAAATGAAATAGAGCGCCTATGTCAGCTGCAGATTGGCTTGGACAAGTTTCTTTCAACAGACCCACTCGTCTCGCGTGCTTAAGTCAAAATTCACACCACATCCCACCAAATGTCGCTAAACAGCTGAAGCGGATGGCGACGAAACTCAAGGCCCAGCGGCAATGTAGCAAAGCTCTGCTGTCTGGACGAAGGGGTTCTTTCCAGGAGTCGTGGTCTGTCCGAAGTCTAACTCCGCCGTGAAAGGATGGGGAAAGCATGGATATTCTCAAGCTTCTGGAGAGGGCAGGACCTGCCGACTGGAGCATGTCTCAAACTGCACCAACCCCTGCAAGTATAGCCTGAACAGCTGGCGGCACCGATGCCGCCCCTTCGCCCACCTCATATCCATTCAGCCAGTCAGAAATCGCCTCAACCGGCTGAGGGGGATGTAGATTTCTCGCACACCTTCCTGCAACAGACGGGTGTCAGTTCCGGCATCTGTCTCAGGTCTCAGAGAAGACTGACGAATCCTGTCCGTGTCTCGGCTATGCTGCCCTACTTTCACCTTGTCAATCCGCTGGACGGAGCTTTCATCTCCGACGGGCAGTGTCCTGGAGCATGCAACTTGTGGTGCGCTGTGCCAACCAACACAACTATGTCCAGCTTCTGCAGTCTGGGCTTGCGTGCATGCCTGAACGGCATCTTCCTGATTGCAAACCCGTGCTAAGCCGGAGGTCATGAAGCGACCAAGTAAGCCGCCAGGAATTTCCACGCCGCTGAGGGTTCCACCATACCTGCTAGCTCTGGACATACATGGAGCTGGGAGGCGAAAACTAGCTAGGGCTTCCAGCGGCTTTGTCTGCATCCTCTGCTGCCAGCAAACGGTCGCAGAATTCCCCGACGGGGCATCGTTCCCCGTGGTCTGGAGTGGGAGGCCAGGTGGGTGTCTGAAGCACTCACTGCAAAATCTGCACGCTGCTGATGGTCAGGACGCATACTCGCTTCAAGGACACCCATCCAGAACCTTCTTTACCCTAATTCAAGGGCACGTGCTAATGCTCAAAAGTACGCCTTGTGGCAAAATCCACTTTGCTGCGGAGTTTGCGGAGTACTTTCTTGCGACCAAGCTTTAAATGAACATGCTGCCTGTGAAAATGGCCCGTGCCGAGCACCTTCAACATGATAAGGAGGATGAGGAGTGTCGACAAGTGAATTGGAACCCAAACATAATTTCTTAAGAACCCTGTTTCAAAGGATGTTGCGTCAATGGCAGCATACCAGCGAGGCATTTGTAGCCGCACTGAAGGCTGGGCAGGCCAGGAGAGTCTTAAACAGCCACTCAATCCGGGACAGCCCGACAGCCCACACTATCCGACGCAACAGGAGCGAAAGCTTCAGGCGGCGTCCAGCGGGGCCTCTACGTACAAGAGATGTTCTTCAACTTCTGTCAGTAGCAAGTGATGTTGAAACCACAACCTCCTCACTGCCGCGAAGGTCATAAGCAGCATGCCGGCTGCAAGCGTGCCGGCTCCTACCAGCAACGGCTTCTTGCCGACCGGGATGGTGGCGAGCATAACAGGTCCACCGGCATCTTCGTATCCGGCATGGGCCTGCACTGAGCCCTGTTCGGCATCCGCCAACTCTTGGCGCAAGCGCTGCTTTTCTGTCTCGAGCTCCTTCTTCAGGTGCGCACGCTCGGAGGCCAACTCAGAATTCAGGCGCTGAATCTGCTGCTCCTGGTCCTCCGCGCTAAGCTCCGCCAGGCCCGAGCCCGTTTGCCTTGCTGCTAGGCCTAGGCTTGTGGCGGCCTCGGCTCTCTGCTCGCTGGCTCCTGGCTGGTCCGCATCCGCATGCCTTGCGCTTTCTGGGTAAGGCCCCAGGTACTTCTCGTAGTCACCAGCCCCGGCTCCAAAGCCTTGAGAGTGCATGGCAAAGTCCAGGTATCCCAAGAAGCCAGCTTTGTCGGAAGTGCCGGAGGTGCTGACCTCCTTCCCTGCAAAGCTCACTTGCTGGTGCTCGGCCCCTGGGGGCTTATCCGATTGTTCTCCAGCAGATGGCAACGGCTCACCCAAGTTGCGAGAATATCTCGATGATATGTGGTTCTCGTAGCCACCTCCACTGCGTGCACCTGTGCCATACTGATCCATATTGGCCATGCTGTCTTGAAGATGCGTTTGGTAGCTGGAGCCTTTGCCATCGCCACCTTCTACATAGTGCTGGTATGGTGCAGCATATGGACTCAGAAGCCTTTGATGATCTCCTTGGGCCGAAGACAAGGCCGGCATCAGCAGCCCAGTCAGCACCAGCATGGCCATGGATTTACCGGAAAGGACTCGGCTCGGAGCTTTGCGCGCTAATCTTGAGCCAAAGGCGAGCACAGTCTTCAAAGGGCCAAGTGCCCACAAGCTTGCCCACTGCAAGTGCCACAAGTTAGTGAGTCCGACTCAGTCCCTCACTCCGTCGTGTCCATGCGAAGCAAAAGATCTTCGTTTTCTCGTAGGCAATGAGGCTTGCCCAGGACATACTTTCGCTCTCCCAGCTGAGTGTAGACCATGATCGCAGACACGTGCAAATCTTTGGGGGCATACCTCAGTTGAAGCTTTATGTACAACAAAACCCTGCTCAGTGCCGGATCCATACTGCCATTCCCCAAGCACCCGTCAGCAGAGTGCAGCAAGGCTGCAGCCTGGACTTGCCCAGCAGCAGGAGCCTGCTTCTGCGCGAGAGGCCCAAGGAGCGCACCGTCTCGTTGCCTGGAAGGACCTGTGCGCAAAGATCCAATCCTACAGAGAGTCAATATATCCTTAGCGGAAAGAAGTAGGAAGATCCCAAATCTATACATTCAAACTCAGATCTCGAGCGCGCAGAGGAGGTCCTTGCCTTGCCGCTCGCCACATCCAACAACACAGAGCCTGTGCCACGCTGGGGCAAGAGAACCATCAGCTGCGCCGCACCTTAGGTCATGAACGACACGCTTCTCGGATGGAGTTTGAGCTGTCCTGTGGGGTTGGCGGTCTGTTTTCGGGCCTTTGGGCCTGCTGCAGAAGTCGGGCACCGGCACAGCAGCGGTTACGCGTTCTGAACCGTTCTGAGATCCATCTGACAGGTTCTCCAGTCACACACAGCCAAACAAGCACTCCTCATAGTAGCATGTGCGCTGCCACGACTAGCTCGCCAGCACAGTTTTTGGGCTTCGGCTAAACGCGGAGATGCTGAGGAGGGGGCGGCCCTTGAGGTCCTCAACGACCTACGTAGTTCGGCACTCACAACTCGGACAATTCCAGGCGAGGCATTATGTTTGTAGGTATTGACGCAGAGCAAAACAGAGATGGCAATGGCCGACTTCCGGTGCGTCGCTCGTTGCAAAACACTGGGTGCTGGGCAGTGTCTCCAGAGACTTCGACGCTGGCACTCCCATCGCTCATGGAAGAAATCGTCAAAGCAATGACACCCTCATAATCCTCCTCGGGCTCGCTGGCCTGGAGCAGGTGTCAGGCAAAATTTTGTTTGGCATATAGCGCATGGGCACACGGGAGCGCTCGCGATGGTACCGCTACCGATGGGCCAACCTACGGCCTGGTCGCCACAGCTGCTAGAAGCAAGCCTCCAATATCCTCTAATTATAATCAGTGCAAGCAGCCGGAGCGATGTCGAACTCCGAACCTTGGCAATGCCGCGTTAAACGTGGAGGATCTCTGGCTCTCGTGCCACAAGAAAGGGCAGCGCCTGGGCCGAGTGGGCCAAGAAGGGTCTCCAGGACGCTGCGCGGTTCTTGCTTGGAATGAGCTGCAGTCGGAGTACCTGTGGTGCCTCACGCAGGATGGCGCAAAATGCGCGCCACGTCGCAGAGTGGCGTGAGGTCTGGTGAATCTGGTGTGTGACGCACGTCGTGCCTGCAGTTTTGCCCTCTTCCTCGGGCGATCCAACCCCGAGCGAAAGGCTGAGCAGGGCATGGAGAGCCATTGAAACAAGGATCGCCCGTCAGTTTGGCTGATTGCTCATGGTGGGACTCATGCTGCGTGGGATTGCGTGGGCCTGAGGACGACTTTCGATATGCAGTGCGCAACAAATCACTTGGACCATCCCCACTGCAATGCCTGCTCCATCTCACTGTGTAACTTCTCTTCGGTGCCTGCTGATTGTTGAGCCAGCTGCATTTGGCAACATGTCCGCAGACTTCGTTTGTCGGAAAAAGTACGTATGCCGCTCCTCTGCAATTTCTGTGTGCAACAACCGAATCTGACGCGTGCAGCAGGTCTTCGCAACTCCGCACAGGAGGCATGCAACAAGTTCTCACTTTACAGTGCTTTGAGAAATCTATTGGCGGCAGATCTGAATCGACCTTCTGGCAAGTCATATAGGACCATGTCGCAGGTGCACGCCACATTTTTTGTCGACCAAGCATGTGGTATGGAGTACAAGGCCAGCCAACATCAACAGATGCAGGGACTAACATGATCCAGTCAAGAGAGCCGGGTAGCTCATATGACATAATCAAGCAAGAACCCGCCTCATGTTAGCTCAGCGTTCAATCGAAGGTCCGAGTGTCAGCAGCATTGAAGCATGACAGTCAAGTCACAAGTGGTAAGGTCGAAGCCCGCTACAAAAGGAGTTGTAACAGTTTCTGCGCAGTTGTGATTTACATGCAGCTCATGACAACGAAGGGCCACAGACAAGATTTGACAGGGCTGTCTGTTTCGAAGGCAAAGTAAGAGCAACAGGGAATCTCGCATCGCCGACCACCACACTTCGCTTAACATGCCTTCACCCTGCATCCGGTCCCGATTGGGCTCGTTGCTGATATTGGCTGGTTTCCTTCTCCTCAACTGCTTAGCTGCAGCAGACGACGTCTGTACAAGGACATGCATCGCAGGGCAAAGCGGTGGGACACTTCCATCTTCGACACACCACACACCCAGTACAAGGGTCTACTGTACTACAGTGTTTGCATGCTTGGCTTAATGAGGTCAAACGAGCTCATAACATCCTCCACAGCAATGGCCTGACAATTTACATGCCATGGTGGGGAGTTACCTTCGCACACGTGCATGAGAATACTGAGCAAATCTGCAGAGAGGAGCTGAGCATCCCGTCGCTTACACAGCCTGACCTGTACCAAGACAAGAGGCGCATTCCGCACGATGCAGTCAGCTCAGGATTTGGAGCCAGACACGGGTTTGTGAAGGTCTTTCACCGAAGGGCAGCTGGCCAGAACGCATCTGGCCTCTGCCTGACCGCCCTACTCATTGCCAAGCACGGCAGGGTGGATATTTGCCATCCAAGTAAGTTGGTGGACCAGAGAGGGTGGAGCATAAAGAGTGGCAATCGCTGCGATAGTGGCCTGGGCTTCCATCTACATTGAATCGATTTCTGCTTAGTACCTTCTGGGTCCTGCATCACCGAGTGTATTGTGAAGGAGCTTGGCCTGCAGAAAAATGTGAAGAGGACGGCCAGCATCTAAAGGCGAACTGGGCCTCTAGGCCGGCAAGGCCCGTCTCGGCTTGTCGTAATGGGTACAGCTATAGAGTACTATACAAGTAGCAGCTACGAGTTCTCTTTGGGGTCGCAAGAGTTCATGAAGGTCATGCTCGAGACGATTCCTTGCCTGCAACCTCCGATCAACATAAAACTGTACAGACGTCGGTCTTGAAGACAACCGCATTTCCAGGTCTTGATGCTGTTGAAAACTTGGCCACCCGCGGGCTACATCCATTCTTCTCCTTGCCGATCAGGCTGCCTCAAAGGTTAACGTGCGGCGAATCCATGCTCATTGCCATGGCTCGGGAAACAAAGCAATGCTGCAAAAGCATCGCGAGCTGGCCGCGACTTCCGAGCTTGCGGCGACTCATTGCTGTAGGCAGGTGAGCTTGAGTTGCCTGCCAGCAAAAATTTACGCATGGACTCACACATCGACTGCGTGCAGGTCTGAACCGCAGCTGGGGACCCCGGCCTCCGAAAAGCCTGCAGATGGCAGTGTGAAAAACCACGCGCGCTCTCCACCGACTCCCTCCCTGCCTCTCCAGTACTCGATACTACTAGTGTATGATCATACTTTCTCATACTTAAACTCTACGAACAAGCTGTATTAGGTTATATATTCCCAGAGCGGGAGACCACTTTTTACTGACTCCGGGTCAGCTTTCCCCAAGGGGCTCGGCAGCTCCAGGTTCCCAACCTACATGCTGCAAACAGACGCGCTTCACACGCCTGGGCGAAGACGTTGACTAAAAAACAGTCTTACAGTCATAGAGCCTCACTTCTGAGCCTTCGCGCTGGGGTCAGGCGCCAGGCAGCGGAGACCTAAGAGAGCCTTGGCTGACTGCTGGAGTGCCTCTTTTAGGCTGTCACGGCAGACAGCCAGCACTACGAGCTCTTCTGTGGCCCCCTGAGCTCCTTTCCTGCCTTTGCCCCGTCCTTTTCCCTTGCCTCGTGGCTTTTGTAGGCTCAGGATCCCACGCTGCTCCAAGGAAGAGAGCGCCGAAAGCACTTGCGTCTTAGGTGTCGGAGACTGCTTGAGTTCAGACAGGCAGTCCAGGTACCTCTGAAAGATCTCTGACGTATGGACAGGCTCCTCCACGCTGGACAATGCACAAAGCAGAAGCTGTTGTGGCAATGGGAGACTTTTCAGCGAGTCCAACGGATCCAGACTCGTTTGCATGGCCGCCATCTTCGATATTGACGGCACGCCGCCGGGTTTGGCTTCCGTGCTTGCTTCTGCTTTGCCTTCTTCTTGCCTGATCTCCTCTGCTTTTGCGAGTCCCTCGTCGCAAAGCCGGACGATGTGTCGGCAGTCTCCAGCATTCGCCAAGCGCCGGATGCGCAGTTCCAGCCCGGCTCGGCCCCCGAGCGCCTTCTCGGCCAGCTCGCCGTCTGCGGCTGCTGCGAAGCGGCTTTGCACGATGTTCTTGAACTGCTGCAATGTGTAGCGCTCGAAGAGAACGGAAGAACACACGCTCTTCCATCTGGGGCCACAGGCTTGGACAAGCAAGTCCACATGGTTCGCGATCATGATGATCGCCAGGGCTGGGGCCTCGCTATGCCTCGGGAGGCCACAAAGGATCTCCAAGGATGTGTCGCCTGCGTTCCACTTCTTCACCAGCTGATCTACCTCGTCAATGATCAAGATGGCAGATTTGCCAAGGCTACGCAAGCTCGAGGCAGCTGAAGCCACAAGGCTGGACAGGGGGCTCCGGGAGCTCAAAGTGGACTGCTTCTTTCCTGTAGCCAGGCTACAGGCCTGACCAGCTTTTACGAGAAAGCCCGGGACGGAGCATGGTCGGAGGTTCTCCATGCAATTAATTTCCAGAACTCGGGTGTCTGGATGTTCCCGGAGCCAAGCCTTAGACGCTGCCCTCGCCACAGAAGTCTTTCCAGTCCCCGGTCCACCACTGAGGTAGATGCAGCTGCCAGCTGCCGACTCCAAGCAGGATTTCAGGAACTCATCCAACAGGCCACACTCACGCTCGCGAGAAACCAGCGGATAGACTTCCTCCTCCGAGGCCTCTAGCATGATCTCTGCAGCTGTGGGATACCCATGGCGCGCTCGCTTGGCCTCCGTCTGGTTTCGCCCCGTGTCGCTCGGCCGTGCCGTCTTTTCCGGGCTGTCGTCCTCGGCCGCTCGCTTTTTGAATCGGCTCTTTTTTTGCGGGGTGATCGGCTCCCCGGGCCCAAAGTCTTGGGCCTTTCCAAGCTCCATGTTCTCATCGTCCTCGAAGGGCGGGGCCATCATAGGCTGCGCCGTCATAGCTCACACAAAAAACTGGGAGACGACTCAACGTTTGTTTTCACGCTTGGCTCAATGCGGGTATCTCCATGTCTGTGCGGTAGACTGCTCCTACTGAGCCATGCTATGCCTTCTATGCGTGCGGGGCATCGGCATCAACTAGCATAGTTGTCTTGCTCGACTTCCACCCCTGTGGGCAGTCTGGCACCCTACAGTCGTCCTGAGCCATGAAAATCAGGGGTCATTAGATCCACGCACACACACACACACACACACACACACACCCGCACAAATCTAAGTGCCAGTGCACGGTCCGGTGCATGCAGCAAAGCTTGACTGCACGGTGCCTGTCTACAAAAACACCACGCCCATGTCTCTCAGTTTTTCTGTCTGAGAAATAGACTGTGGCATGCAACTTTCGTACTTGCCGTCGGCTTCGGCGAGGCTTCGGTTCCCAACTCCCACGAGACCCTGAAAGCTTGCTGCCTGGATATCCAAAAGTAAAGCCTGGATCTGCACGACCCGATCCACGACTTCGCAAGCTTCGCAAGCCCGCAAAGCCGTGGATTGAGCAATGACATCCACCTCCAAACTGCCAGAGCCCAGCTCTGAGAGCAGAAAAATAGCATGTTGCCATCGACCTCCCTTCTCACAGGCGCTGATGACAGCATGGTATGCAATCTCGTCTGCCCCCAAGTGGCTCGCGAGCAGTTGCCCGAAAATCAAGACTGCAAACTGCCATTGCCGGCCCTTCTCACATGCACTTACAGCAGCACTGTAGGTTATTCTGTTAGGCTGCAGTTCCATCCGGAAGACATCTGCCAACAACACCAGGGCCTGTTTCCACTCCCCACCCTTCTCACAGGCGCTTATCGCTGCACTGTAAGTCACCTCATTCGGGTTGAAACTGCGCAGCTGCAAATCTACTAAAAGAGAGAGTGCATGCTGCCACGGCAGCCCCTCCTGCCACTGCGAAGCTTTCTCACAGGCACTTATCGCAACGTTGAAGTCTTGCAACTCACATGGCATGTCTTTCTGAAGCATCTCTGCCAGAAGACATAAGGCCAGTTGCCACTGGGCACTGTTCTCGCACGCGCTGATGGCAGCATTGTACGCTACTCGATTAGGGGCCAGCTGTTGCTGTGCCAAGCCCATGAATAGTGACAATGCCATCTCCCACTGCTCACCACTGCCGCAAGCGCTAATGGCAGCACTGTAGATGATGATGTCGACAGGCAGACCCTGCGCGAAGACATCATCCAGAAGGTACAGTGCTATTTGCCACTGTCCCTTTGCGCAGGAGCTGATCGCCGCGCTGTATGAAACAAGATCAGCCTTTAAGCTCCGACTCTTGAGTGCTAGAAGCAAGCCCAAGGCTTGTTGCCATTGGTCGCCCTTCTCGCATGCACTGATGGCTGTATTCTGAATGATCAAGTCCGCTTGCAGTCTCTGCTGGCCAAGCTCACCCAGCAAAGCCAGTGCATACTGCCAAACCTCGCATCGCACGCAAGCACTCATTGAGGCGCTGTAGCCTGAGATCACGCGGCAAGCTCAATCAGTGTTGCTACACTTGCTCTCATACAGAGTTCGTGGGGCAAACGACACATCGCCAAGCAGCCAGCTTAAGATTTATGCTCTCAGTGTTGGCGATTTGGCTGCACCAGAGAACCGCTTCAGCTGCTACGCATGTGGCAGGCTATTTGTACAGCTATCTGCTCCCATTGCAAGACTAGCCACTAATAACATCTGCTTCCTGCTGCCGGCCCAGCCGTGCCAGCACTACCAAGGCTTGCTCCCACTGCTGCCCTCGCTCGCAGCAGCTGATGGCTGCATTGTGCACAACCTGGGCCAGAACAGGTCGTCGTAGGTAGTGTGTAGTGGCAGCAAGCAGCGGCGGTAGCTGCAGCAGCGCGAGAGGTAGTGGTGAGTAGCAGTCCTCTTACTGCTACTGCCACCCTCCCCGCGCAAACGGCGACGACGACTTGACGACTACCACCTAAATGCCGCCATCACAAATTACCACTGCCGCTCACTACTAGTCGGTCTTTACCGCGATAACTACTGAACAACTACTACCTCGTCTGAGTCCGCTGCCACCCGGCCTCGACCTGTACCACCCTGGTCAGCGTTGGCTGTCTCTCCGAACACGCAAGGTTGTCTATGTTCCCGTTGCCAGCATGCCCCGTGCCTCAAATCTGTTGAACAAGTCCAGGCCGTGTTGCCACTTGCTGGCCTGCGGTGGGCATCAATCCCCGACAGACATGTCGCACCGCAAGAGCCGTGTCACTCGTTGAGATCGCGTCTGTTTGTTTGCCGTGTCTAAAACCGAGACTTGTCTACGGTGGAAGGTGGAAAGTCGCAAGCCATGCAGTGTGCAGCGAAATGAGCCTTGCCACAGGCATTGATGACGATGCTGAAACTCCTGACTGCTCAAAGCGACGCTCAAGGCTCAAGGCATTAAGCCGACTCTGATCGCAGGGTTCAATCATGTCCAGAGACACTCCTGCCACCATCGAAGTATGCCAATCATGCGCTGGGTGAACTCGCTGTTTGGGTTTGCGCTACTCAAAGTGGGCTGGCATGTCGCCGCAGTGCTTGCTGAATGTCCGATTTTGCATGGCTACATGAAGTGTTGGCTGCCAACCGAAACTGTCGCCCACAGTCCCGCAACGTTCCGCAAATTAAATTGCATCGGCTGCAAGCCGTACGCATTACTGACAGTCCCGAAGTTTGCCCACTTGTCCCAAACCAGGAGTTGCATCCGACATCGTGGTTGCGATCTCTGGAGCTGCAGATGTTCCGACTGGCCCCAAAAACCTGTAATTGAGTTCGCTTCTTGTCCGTAAAGCGGTGAAAATCCCGATACCCGACACTCGAAGTTTCAAGGCCTTGAATTCTCGATTGGCGCTCTTACTCGGGATTGCTGCAGTCCAGGCATGCGTGCATTGATGTTCTGCGTAGTCCGTGTAGACTGCATTCTCCAAACGAGCAGTGTTCGGTGGTTGGCATAGCATGCTGTTCCAGTCCAGTCCTATCTGTTACGAGCCCGCGGTGCTCAATCTCGTCGAAGAGGTCCAGGCATGCTTCCCACTTCTTGGCCTCGGGATAGGAGGCTCGATGGATTTGGGCCGCCGGATTAGCCGGGCGGTCTCTGTCATGTCATGTCCGTTCTTGTTCTCAACAATCACGAGCTGGCCTAAGCCCTGAACCAAGCACCAGCAAAGACTGACGCTCCACCGCAGCCACGCTAGAAAAGTCCGGACTCCTTCGTAAAACGGCTATGAAGCACTGAGTCGACACACCTTGTAGACTTGGGCTGCAGGGTGGCTGGTGCAATCTCAGAGCTTCTATATTTTCTGCCAGCTGAGAGTCTACACATGTTGCGAGAGGTTTGACGACTTCTTCTAGTGGGAAGGATGCGGGCCATCATCGAACACTGTGCGCAGCAAGTCAAGCACTTCTTCAATGCCCAGCACGTAAAGCACGACTATGCGTGTCAAGTCAATGTGTAAGCCGAGAAGCCCTACCGCAGGCATTCAGAACGGCATCGGTGGTTTGGATCGATGCGAGGAAATGATTGCACCACATTTGGTGTAGGAGGCAGGAAGCCGCGTCCTTAGCTTAAATGAAGGATCCACGAACAGTTTAACCTCCAGGGTTGGCTCGTGCTAGTGACTAGTGCTCTGCAAGCATCCCATCTTCGAGCATCTGCATGCCTCTTCACAGCAGCAGCATACCTCATACCAGTCGGGACGGAGGTGGAGTGGAGCATGTACAGGTCAGGAACTTACCTGTCCAGCAATCTTGGGTTGCTCAAGTTTAACGTCGAAAGGCTAAAGACTACTGTTGCCCTCTGGACACCGAAGGAAACGCACACAAGGTTGACGCTTGATGATGTTAGAAGTAGCATGATGGAGACACGGCCACTGAGCCTCTTGAATTCGGGTCCTAGGATGCTTGCCCAGCTGCTGCATTGGGCTCATGGCTGTCGACTCTCGTTCTGGAAGCGCTGCCATGGGTCGGAAGCACAGGTTCCCTTACTGTTGCCAAGCCTTTGCTACAACGACTCAAGTCCCACTACACGGCCGTCGTCAGAACATTCGTAACAACCAGAGGAAGCCATTCGTATGGGTCGAAGCTGCAAAACTCGGGACATGGACTTCGAGCATTTGGCTGCAGACTCTGAAGCTGTCAGAGCTGAGGTCATCGACGTGCTGCTTGAGCCCATGCTCAACTACTGACTAGCTCAAGTGCCATCCACGCCTCCACGACACCCGGTCTTTGTATCCTGCGCACCAGGCAAACGTAGTTCAAGAGGCACATTATAACAGTATTTAGTCTGCCTCAGCTTGGACATATCGATTGAGGATTGAGGCAATGATACCATTCATCGGAACTCGACTGCTCGGAAGGCCTGGCGCTTTTCTGGCTTCCGGGCCCCGTTGCCAGATGTGCTTTACCTGGCGTGACAAGAGTCAGCCCTGCATCTGCTACATTCCAAGACCAAGACATTGCAACAGCGTGAGGAGTCTGCATGGCCGTGCTGTTTGCTTCGTCCTGGCCTGGCGCAAGCGACGGTCCTCGGGAAGCTCTGTATAGTCATGGCAACAACAGCCCTATGTAGCTCTCTCCCACTGCAATCAGGTCATTCGAGTGAAATCGAACCCCCGAGCCCGGGATCCCTGCGGAGTGCTGCACCAAGGAGCTCAAGCCTCCGACAGCCAGAGATACTCTTCAATGAACTCACAACGAACTCATCTTAACCCAGTCGGCACCAGACATCGGAGACTCCCAATTTCACAGGGATCCATGAATCTCCTCAGGTCTCCCGTGCCTCCTGGGACCGAGGATGCCAACGCAGCGCTTGGGCGGCTGCAGAAGTCCCAGCGCCAGCCTCGGAAGAAGCCGTTAACTGTGTCAACCCTTCACCGCTGCTTCTGAGTGGGCAAGAGGTGGTGGAGTACTATCCATTAGAGGCACCTCTAGGATTCTGTATGCGTTTAAACTCATGGGATTATACGAGGTATTCCGAGGAAGTCGGTTCTAGCCTCTACTGGGCTTCGGCGTTTTGAGGAGTTTGGGCTAGGTCCGATACAGGGAACGGTGGTTTAGGGTTTCGGCGCTCACACTCGCACGAAGGGGTTGCGGCTTCGGGTCTGGAATTTGCAGGCTGCGGAGCTTCAGAGATCCGGAAGTTTTGGGTTTGGGGATGCAAGTTTATTATCCTTGGGATTTATGACTAAAAGACACTTACTTGAGTTGGCTTAGCTTTTGGCAACCCGGCGTTGGTGTACTTGAGTGTTTCAGCGAGAGTTTAGGGTTGTAGGGGTTACCTGAGGCAGGCAAGTAGTTAAAATAATGGCCCAACATCGCTACTACATACTTTTGGGCTTCAGGTAGAGTTTGACATGTTTAGAGTTTGAGGTGAACCTAGCAGAGCTTGGTGCAGGGGCACGATCCACGAATTTCAGCTCAGGAGGTGGCTGCCATGCTTGCGTTGATCGCCAGGGCTACCTTGACCAGCTATCCCGAGAACTCCCGCGATGCGAGGCAGCAAAAAGAACGGAACAAGGGGGAGAAGAGCAAGTTGAGCATGGACTTCAGTTCGGAATCCAAGCTGAACCTTACAGCACGATCAATCCTTCCGTCTTAAGGGGCCGGCAGGCGGCAGCCGGCAGCAGCACCTACCAAAATATCACGATGTCAACTGCCAGTGTCTGTCTGTTGTGAACTTCGTGGACCCCACTCCTGCGCAGCCAGCTCTGTTTCCATTCAGTTTCAGCCCGTCGAAATTGGAGTTTCACAACATGAAGTAGCCCGGAAGCACTGACCACGCCGCAGGATCTGCATCGAAAGGACCCGTGCTCAACCTTGCTAGTCGACGTCGCATCGGCAGCAGCCTGGAGCTGAGAGAAAGAGAGGGGCCCCTTGGCTGCTTGATTCTGATTTAGTGAAGGGGCCCTCATATCATCAGAATTAGGTTTTGGACTCTCGCAGGCATATATTACGGTATGTTCTCCGAGCATTCTTTATAAGGGATCCAGATATTGCAGGCCGGCAGATCGTAGCATCTTGCTTGGCCATACCAGATCTGCCTGGAAGGCCCCTTCCTCTTCGCCCATGTCGAGTTGCAGGTTTACGTCCACATCCTTGATGTGCGAGGGACAAGGAGAAGAGTCACAGGCGTCGAAGAGCATGCTAGGCAGCGTTGTCAATCTTCCTGTGAGAGCCACGTCTAACGGTCTCACGCTCTAAGATCAGCACTCGCACGATGCCCGGCAAGGCCTCATCTTCTAAGAGCCAGTTGAAGCTAAGAAGCAAGCCAAGCTGACCCAAGCATCTACACACCTGCCGAAGATAACAGAACTCTCGAAATCTCTCGAAAGCATGCTCTTGCAACTCGTGCCAGAAAGGGCTGCTTTGTGCGCCGCTGCAGCCGGCTTGGCATATCTGCGGTTTGAGAAGTCTCTGGCGTGGTGAGATGGGTATATAGGGTGTTATAAGGCACCACCTGGCCCAGCCCAGGGGCGAAGCAACTACAATCATAAGCTCCTCACATGGCAGAAGGATGGCGTCTGAGAACAAACTCTGGATTCGTTTAAACCACGTACGTTTTTTGTCGGGTTGAGTGGGTCCTGCCAGTTTCCCAAATCCATCGGCCACATGAGAGCAACATATGGAAGCTATGAGCACCTGCGCTTCGGCGCATGGGGTCTTAAGCTGCCCCGAGCATGCTCTAAGAAGATCTACGTTCGGATTCTAGCGCCTCGGATGAAAGTCAGTCTACAGAAGCCTACAGCTCCAGGCAAGTGATTGCTGGAAAGAGCAGAGCAGCTGTCTCACAGAAGCTGCTTCCTGCACTGCGAGTACCATGTTGATTGACAACTAGTAAGTGCGATCGCGGAGTGGAAGCAGCTTCGAGGGCAGCCGCTCGTTCCGGCACTGGCAGTCTCTGATGATCAGGGTTGACCTCGCTTGCGGATGAAATCCGACCACCACTCCCATTCAAACACACAGCACTATTTCGCAACTGTCTGTGTTCTGACCACAGAATTTCAGAAGTGCACGATCTGTGCTCTGGGATATCCGATACTGTCGACGTCTTGGGGCTTCTGTCAGTCGAGCAGCGCGTGGCCACGTGGCGCACTGCCACAGTGCCTTTCTACTCCTCCTTGGCTTTGGTCTTTGCCTGACAACCCGGCATGCTTCAGGCTTCAAGGGGCTTTGACGTGGTGCCGACCAATGTGCTCAGCCTTCTTGGCCGACTTTGTCTTTGCAGAGGACTCCTCGTCCTGGCCGCAGGCGAACATGGCATGATGCTTCCTTGATAATTACTGGAAGCCTTAGACCGATGTCAGAATGTCATCCCGGCTGAAAAGTGCACGATTTCGATTTCTCAAAACCCTGAAGTTCCTGAAGGAAAAACAAGCACAGCGGCCTTTCGTTTCTTTCCTGTGGGGGCTCCGGGAGTAGCTCCCGGAACTGGCTCCTTGGCTGCGGCCTCACGGCATCTTCTGATCTTGACGTGGGGCCTTGTGGGCGATCCCACACGAACCTTTGAGTTTTACAGGTTCTGTAAGCGGTCTATGGGGTTTCTTTCGGGTTCTACAAGGCCGCTACGCCGAACCAACGAGTCTGATATTGGGACGGGCAGCGCCGACGTTCCAGGCCGTGCAAGCAACTGAACCGCATCGTTCTGCACACCTCTTTCTTCTCGAGGGCATCCGGGCACTGTTTTTATTCTCTCTTTCTCGGCTTTGGTGTAGCCAGAAACACGCTGTGTCAATATTAAGGAAGTCGAGGGTGGGCATTGCTTGCATGAACACCGCATGGAGCCCGAACCTTCGCTTCAGCCAGGAACTCCTCGACGCTGGCCTGCTCCTGTGCGCAAGAAAAGCCTTTCCCTTGCTGCAAGTCGTATAAGCTGTCGTCCTACAGCAGGTGCAGGAACAGCGAACTGGAGTGAGCATTGGGTTACTGCAGGCGAGTCAGGCGATCATGATTTTCTTGATGTTCCAGGCTTCCACGAGTGCAATCGCAGTCGCACCCCTGGTCCCAACGCGTGCTCGCAAACGGCTCCTTCTTGAGTAGGCTGTAGGCTTGCCATGCCTGGCGCCAAACAACGAGTGCGCACTCTCACACCTTCGATATGCCAGGACTGCTGGCTGCATGGATAAATGAATGCGAAATCGAAACACCTCCGTGAAACACACGTCAGGTCTTCCAAGGTCTGGTCTTAACGTCCGGAATACACACGCAAAGGCGAAGCCTTGTTGAGGTTTACGATCCAGAACGGCCGAGGGCCATCATCTGCACCTCATGAATTACGAAGACTAAGAGAACTTAGGTATGAGCAGAGCGGGTTCGAGAATGCTGGTGAAAGCCAGAAGCAAAGCCATCACACTGTCCAGCCAAGGCACCGTCTACCACATGGATGGTGTAGTTGGCTGAGTTCGCACCCTGCTCGACGCGGAAGCAGCCGCAGCTTTCCACCTCGGCAGTCGGCAACACTAGGTCAAGGGCTGACCGTACGTGCAAAGCTCTTGATCCAACTGCAGCAGTTGATGGATCTTTCGAAAGCCCGTAAGACCGGCCTACGAGTAGCAAGCTTGGCATCCCGCAAACTTCCGGTATGGCCTCGGCGGAAGCGCCGAAGTGTCTCTCTGCAAGAGCTTACGTAGATGATTTGCACGGATGGGACTTCCCACAAACTTACTGGGCCGTGCTGGCAACCTGACCTGCTACACATATCATTGAACTACTTGAACAAAAGCTGTTCGGGAAAACTTGGAGCTTGTACTTAGAGTTTTACGGGATCCGATGCATGAATAACACAGACCAGTTGCAAGTGGTATTTATGTATCTCTCTCTCTCTCTCACGGACTCAGTTACCTGTCAGCCGCGACGCAGGGTATGTCCGTATGCATATATATATATAGTGTATATATGTATATACATACAGATATAAAATTAGATACATGCAGTATAAGGGCGTGCGCACAATCTGCTGGCTTTTGCTCAAGTCTTCGTCGTGCACCTGCAGCATCTGCCATATGAAGGAGCGCCTGGTGGCATCACCTTCTGCTGAGATGCAAGCCCCAGGATCGGCTTCCAGTCTTGGTGCCAGTTGTCTATGATGTAAGGCGCACCTCGCTGCTGCTCCTTTGCCATGTATCGTGCCGTTGCATCACAGCATCAAAGCGCAGGACTGCTTCTTGGCCTGGTCTTGCCAAGCGACCAAGGCAACTGAAACACGAAGTGTCCTCGGGGTTCTTCGCGAGGGCCGCCTTGATAAGAGAAATGGCCTTGCTCGTGACTCTGGCTGTGTGGATGTTCGGTCGCTGCGTGGTTCACCGGGACTTGCGAACTGCCGTCGTGTTGTAGTGATTCGCATCAGAGCGAACTGTTGGCACTCACTTTGGTCCAATCGACGGTACCCGAAGCCCTGAATCTGCCGCCTTTTTCGTGGCCTTTTCTCGCTCTTCTGGCGTTGGTGGCGGCCGTGGGGCCGCGCGACCTGACGGTGGAAACGAGTCATGCTTCCAACGTCGAACAAAGACGTCAGGTCGCATGCAATGTGCAGTGCCTGTGCTGGTTCAAAAAGATGTGCTGGGGATTTACGGGGTCGGGGGCAGGCAAACATGACATCTAGCAGTAGAGTGCAGGTCTGAAGTTACACATGTAGTCGCCAGAAGCGACGGTCACGTCATGTCAATGATTAGCCGCGTGCAGCATTCTCTTCACATCTCGGGGCCCTTGTTTTTGAAGCCCCAGCTCCTCCAACCCTGCGCTCATGTCAGGACAGGGCCGCCGATGAAGAACGCCGTCACATGTGGATATCAACATCACATTGACTTGTACTCGATGAAAGTTATCGTGATCTGTAAGCATGCTGCGGTAGAGACTGTGCACCTCACCTACGAGTAAGAGCTCATGCAAAGCTGAATCTGTCGTGAGATTCTCCGTCATCAACATACAAGGATGAGGAATGGCCCACATTATCGCGCTTAGTGTAAGTATGTCGCCTGACAGCTGCGAGTTTGATGTCGATCCACCGCTCCGACAGACCAGGGCAGCAAGTAGCCATGGAACACCATGTCCGACCCAATACCTTGATTCTCTCGTTGATCGGCCTGGCTTTGGCGGATTGTGCTCCGGGCCAGCCTGGCCACGCAAACGCCGTGACGACTGGAGTAGGCTTGCAGACTGCAAACACAGATCGCTCGCGGCTATGGGCAAACCGCTGAGATGCATTCTAGCACAGGCGTAGATTGTAGCTCGACAGAGAAACAGAAATGCCCATGACAGGCCCTGAGCGCACCGATCGGTTATGAAGTTTTGCACGGACCCTGCCTCTTCGTCATTAGTAGACGGATTGTATTTGGCGGCTTGAAGTTTTGAAAACGGGCAACATCCCCGCCCAACAAAAACACTGGCATCGACACCACTTCAGCAGGGCTTAACCGTGGAAGACAGCAGTTCGACAATGCGTGGCCTTGGACTTGGCTTCAGCGTTTGCTGCTTTCTTGTCCTTGCTCTTCTTCGCGGGAGTCGGCTCTGCTGCCGGAGCCGCCTCGCAGGAACCGAACATCTTGAAAGCGTGCACATGCTTGGGGTGTCTGTACTGGCAGATCACCCAAACCAAATTGTTTCGAGATCTGGACACGGCCTGTGTCATGCTTCGGGTCGCACAGGGCTTCCGCAAGTTGGCCGGGTAAATTTTTACTGCAGCTGAGATCTGAGGAGGAGTGATTCGGAGTGAAGATACTGGCATTTCGGCAAAACATGCTTTTGTCAGTGCTGCGCCACTGGCTCGAGCGGGACTCTCACGTCGCCTCCCCTTGCTGCGTTGGTGACCGTCTGTGGGTCTGGGGAATTTGCCTCTGGAAGTCCTTTCTCCAGGTGGGAGTTTCCGAAAATTAAGGGGTACCTCATTCTAAGCGTCCTTCTAATCAGGATCCTACTACTTAGGGTACTATATTAGGGTCCCCGATTTCGGAAACCCCCTGGTCATGGCACGAGCAGGAACGGCCTTGGGCGACTGCTTGGGCGAAGACTTATCCGGAACGGTGGGTGCGGCCTGGCAAGAGGGCGGAAGAAGCTGAGGATGCAGTTGCTGTCAGTTGCTCATGGCCGCGATCAACATCATGTGCAGAAGCTGGTTCGGCTTTCTCAACATGCTGCCTTCGGCGAGGCTTTGGGCGACTCCTCGCCCTTCACAATTTTTCCACCGCCCTGGCACAAAGTCGACAGGCCAGTCCTAAATGCTGCAACACAGTTGCCTAGCTGTTTGGCTACGCTTCCAGTGCCCTGCAGTAGTCGAACACCGCCTTCTTCAAGTTCTTCTTCTTGATCTTCATGGCTCCCCAGCAGCTCGGTGAGAGCACCCGGATGCTTGCTAAACTGAGCCAATTCCGATTCACAAGTGGCATTGTCAAGATGTCAATGGAGGAAGTGAGACATCGCAGTGCCCGCAACATGGTTAGCCTACCTGGTTAGCTGGGAGTACAGTCACGTTCATGAGCTCCGCTCCCTGCGCACACGTTCGCGAGCCGCACGCCCTGCCGCCGTCGCCCTGGCATTGACGTTGATCAAGCTCAGAATCTGAGAATAGCCGCTGCAAAACTCGAGGTATGGTACGGATTGGGCCAAGTGTTCAACACCACCAACTCCAGCCCCGAGGCACTCGGCCACACTTTGCGCACACTTCCAGCACCGCACGCGGCAGTAATCCCCTCACGCGCCAATGCAGCATGTCGTTTGCTGAAAGAACAAGAAAGATCCCCTCCTACGCAACTTTTCGACTGAAGCAATGAGCATGATGGAGTCTCCAGGTCCCTCCTGCGAATTGTGGTGTCCTCCCCCTGCAGGCGGAAGTCTACCTGCCATCGACCGGATGCGACAGTCGCTTGGATGAGCTTGAACAGTTGAGCCGAGTTAACCTGTCGACTTCGACATGAACAGTTTATTAGAGCTCCCTGGCAAGTGTGTTACTGCCAGGCTCGAATGCGACGGGTCTGTTCCATCGATATGAAATGACATGAGCACCATTGCCGCGTCTTATGCGCAAGCCGGAAGGCCTCTAACTCCGTGTCTCTCTGTTTCTTTGTCCTTTCTCAGTTCTTTCTGTTGTGTCAGTAATGTATGTCTCCGCTGCCTGTGAACACTCCCGAATACGTACTCACTCGTGCATGCCTGCTGGCAAACGGAATAGAAATGAACATGCTAGCAGTAGCACATGGCATGCGTGCGCAAAAATACGCACATGTGAGGACACACGTGCTCACAAATAAGCAAACGAACGAACAAATACAAAAAACAAACCACAAACGCACGAACAAACAATCAATCAAACAGGCAGACACACACACACACGCAGACACGTACGTGAACAAGCAACCAACCAAACAAACACACAAACACACAAAAACACAAAAACACAAGCAGGCAGACAAACACAGAAACAAACAAACAAGCATACACCAACATACAAAACACAAACAAACCAACACACACCACACACGCGAAAAAACGACAAACAACACAACACGCAACACAACAAAACAAACAACACAAATCAACACAAACAAAGAAACAAAGTCAAGCAAACAAACAAACTCGTACACACTCACTCACCTACCCACCCACCCCCCACCCACGCTCGCTCGCTCGCTCACTCTCTCACACGCACCAAAACACGCATAGAACCCCCTGTGTACGCATCCGGCGGAAACCATCGTATATGCTGGCCTTAACATCGACATAGGAGGTCAACTTGCCATCCCCACCAGCGCTGGTCTCCTTGCGAGAACTCACTGTGGGCAGCTTGCAGCTTAAGCGGACCGCCGACTTGCACAGAAGACTCGGCGGCAGCTCTTCAACTTCAACATCTCTCGGAGCCTGCTGGTACCGTATCGTAAAGACAATGACAAGCAGCGGCAGATACAAGTATGTCTTCTCTTGAAACTTCTGGGCAGGCACGCACGAAGCACAATCAGCACAAGGAAAGTTTGTCAGATCGACCCTGTGACAAACCCTTGTGTTACTCACTCATGTCTTGCCCACAGCAACTGTGAGGACTCGCGGGCTAAACAGAAGTGCACTGGCAAGCTGGTTTCAGATGTGCCAGGCACAGGGAGCTGTTCAGAAAGCCCACAGCACGTAGCAGGTGGGAACAACTGTAGACCACGGATTTTTTGACGATGGTCCCAGATTCGCAACGGAACCTACTAGGGACACTAATTATGCTCGCAGCTCGTCCCAGGACTCACCAAACGTCAGAGCTCAGCAGCGCCGCCAGGGCTACTAGTAGTGGAAACCTGGGTTCAGCTTGTGCAGCCAGCTTGAGTTTCGTTGCGTGGAGTGCGAGGAAGCAAGCTCCAGAAGAGCCAGACAAAGTTGGAAGCATCATGCACCAACTCCAACTAGACGTGGCCTTCGCAGTTCGAGATCGAAGAGAGCGACAGGCGACCAACGGCAGCATGCCGGTTTCAACATAATTCAATTTGCGGATCTGCTTTGCAAACTGTCTGTCTGTACCGACCTTTAAGTTCATCTCAGCAACTCCAAACACTGAGGCATGCACAGGTTGATACAGCAGCACGCTGACATCGTCTGCTTCATTGGGACCGTACCTTGTCCGACACATATTTTCCAATGAGAAACAAAAACATTGAGAAGGAGTGGTTCCCGCTGCCACCCCTGCTGCCTTGTCCGCCAGCCTTTGAGCGCGGTCGCGACGAGTGTCGCTGCCTGGTCTTCGCGGCTTGGATGCTGCGCGTCCTTGGCATCTTGCAGTGTCTGTTGTGGCCGATGCCCCCTTAGATCGGGCAATGCCCTTGCCTTGGTTGCTCGCCCCGCCCCTCCTTCAAGCATGTGCTGCACAAGTCTCTGCCAGAATCTCCACGGCTTCCTCTGTGTCTACGACGTCCCACACGCCATCCTCAGGAGCAAGCAGTGTGGAGCTCCAACCCCAGTAGCGATGTTTCGTAGTCTCTGCCAAGGAACCGAAGCAACAAGAACAATGTCATCTGCAGTCACGTCCATGAAGTCTGACGTCTCCGGCACCTCCGCAGCACGTCGCTAGCCACCAGCCGCTTACACGTCATATCGAAACGGAAGTTGCAAAGATTTGCTGAGATGCGGACTGCCAGAAATCCAGCACCTTCCTGAATTTTGGCGGCAGGCGGGAACACAGCAAGGTTGCAGGAATCAGCAAGGGCGACGCAACAAGAAATCAGAAAGATCCCGACGGTAGTACGGGTTTAGGTGCTGGAAGCCTATCCTGCGCTGCATTCCCTGACACTCCCTCTATGGAGTGGTTGAGCTTCCACTGCTTTTCGACGGTGCGATCCATGGATGCATGTGCTGGCAGAACTCTGTGCATCCGTAGTTCCAACTCTACATCGCCCAAGCCCCTGGTCGGCATCACCTTGGCTATGTCTGCTTCCAGAAGCTCACGTGCCGGCATACAATAGTGGTCGTACCTCGCAGCCTACCTCCCAAAGCCGACACGTCTACATGTCGACAAGTAGTGAGCACACTAATCGAACGACCCCACCGGTGGGAGATTTCAGATTTCATGTAAGTGGCACACCCAGCATAGGGGGTGGAGCTGCACAAATAGCCGTCACGGAGGCGATAGCTGTATGCTGGGCGGTGTGTCTGCAGACGGTGAATTTCCTCATCATTCTCCAGGGTGTGCATCGTTGTCCTGTACACAATGTGCCTCAGATTGGGATTCGGTATGCAGGAGCTAGCCAGCAACTGCTCACTCACACATCAAGCAAAGAGAATTGCTTCAAAGCCTGTGGCAGCAAGCGTTGCGCCAAGGCGCCCACCACGAATCAAGACTCCCATGGAATCTCCGGCCCAGGCAAAAGCGACGCGAGAGGTTTTCACCTGGAGCAGCTGCTGTTGCGGTGGCAGCAGTGCGAACCGGACAGCAGAACAAGCAGCAATACTGTAGAGACGGAGCCTCTGACACTACTGCCACGAGTGTGGAGCCGCTGCGCCAGTTCTGCTGCCGCGCCTGGTCCTGGCTCCGACAACGGATCGAAATCTGCTGCCGAATTTGCGACTTTTACTTGCCAGTCGCTGGAGGTCATACAAGAAGGTACTCAGGTACTGAAAACAGAGAAGAGTGCCGGCTTGCAAGAGATTCGCAAAGTGCAGTTCCTTGTCGGCTAGTGTCTCAGATGCCACCCCCATCTCAGACCCTCACAGACCGAGGGGGCATGCTGGGGATAGCTCCCGGTGATGTATCTTCGGATCAGTTGCGCTGGCAGACGGTCGCCCTACTTATGCAAGAAGCAAAAAAAAGGCCTGGAAGGCTGCAACCGCGTCTTCAGCACAGCCAGGCCACACCTGTTCGAGCTGAGACAGTCTAGACAGCAACTACTGCTTCACAGTCCAGGCAGTGTTCAGGCAGAGGCCAGACGAGTTTCGGCTGATTCTTCCGTGGGCCAGGACGGTGTCACAATCCACAACAAGGAGGAGGGCAATACGCCACAATTTCGTCATCTCAGCTGATGACGACAAGAACGGAACTAGCAACAAGCATGCTGCCGTCATCACCATTACCCAAAACATAGTGGTACCGTATTCCCGCAGAATCAACGACACCGCCTGCCTGCAAGTCTGTGCAGTGCTTGAGGAGGCCCTCTTGCAGGGAGGCGGCATGCCGGACGATGTCTTGGCCCCCGTGGCCTGGGAAAGGCGAGAGGGGTCAAGAGTCAAGGGCCTGACAAGGTTTCGGCTCCTAGATCTTGAACAAGCACAACCGACAAGTAGATGGGCTTCAGCATGCCTCAAGTTGAATTTGTGAAGGGTGGCTGGGACTGTGACGCAAAACCGTTAAACCCCATCATGGGACCGCCTGCAGAACAAGCTTCCGTCCATAAGCAAGGCAATCCTCAGGATGCCGTTGCTTCCGGGTGTCACGACCACATCCTCACCTGTGGGACAGCGGGACGCGAGTTCTCTTACTGCACACTCACAAAACATTCCCGTGCGTTCCCTTCCCAGGCCCCTTGACACCTCGGTGTTGGCCCTTGTTCTGCGAGATCGCTACGGCCTGCCGGCTGAACACTTTGGCAAATCCCACGCTTCCGACGGAAAGATGCGGCAATCTGGCTCTGAGACGAGGGCGAAAGCACTTGATGAGGTGCTCTGCCTTGCTACAGTAGTGACCATCAGTGGACATGTTCGAGAAAGTCTGCTGCAAGGTCGTGCATGTTCAGCCATGCATGCCCAGGAAGGCGCAGAGCCGGACAAACCACACAGATGAACAAGCTAGCACTTTGACTCCCTCCCTCACCTCCCCCACAAAATATTCAAAAGTTGTTCTGGCCTGCTGTTCGTTCCTTTCGGTGGCCCTGTGGGTGTGCATACAAACGCATATTGACGCACCGTTCCGAAGTGGATCCCTTCTGCGTCGGCGAGCAATGGCTGTTGGAGATTAAGGGTCCGCGAAGCTAAGACTTCGGCTGTAAGGGACCGTAAGGGATAGTGAGAAAGGTCACGGAGCAAAGCTTTTAAGGTTTGGACGGCTCTTTCGTTTTCGACTTTATAGTGCTTAAGGATACAGGCTGACAAGCTGCAACCTTCCCGGGTGTGGGTCTCTGGCCATTGCTGGAACCGCGATATTGGCAGGTGGGAGGATAAGATTTTTCTCGATCTCTGTCTCTACCTACTCGTGCAGTGCTACTTGTCTGTGAAGTCCCGCCAGGTTGCACAACGTTGTTCCGCAGCTCTGACTCGACCACATCACCAAGCTGCCTTGGTTGGCGACTGACCGCTGTCAAACCCCAGGCTTTCATTGACGTCCTCCGATCGAGCCCTTGACCCGTCGGTGCAAGAACCTATCGGGCGAGTGTTGCCACTTCCCTACATGCATGTCCAATTGGGCGGGAAGCAGATCGGCCCCTTTCACCAGGCCGAAAAGCAAACACCTCGGATTCAGAAGGATGTGGAACATCGAATAGCTGTTCGACAGCTATGGGCTTCCGGAACGAGCAAATCCAGATCCAAGCCACCCGAAGGCTTGCCCCAGCACGCGAACGGACGGGCCAGTCATGCCAAGCTCAGCGCAGTGCGTGTGATGCTGTGACAACGCAGGATTTTTTGTGGCGCGGCATGCAAAAATCTGTTTCTCTGGCCGAATCATTCAGTTCCGTCCTGTGCCGGCACCATTCGCTCCGCGAGATATGCCTATGTCAACCCTGAAAGACCCTCACAAACTCCTTTTCTCCCAGGTTCTGAGCCAGCTGCAGCCTCGGAAAACCCTCATAGGTGAGAATGCCTTGGGGGGTTTTGGGTTTAGGGTTTTTTTGTCTAGGCAGGGTTTAGGGAAAAGAGCATTGCCATTTCATAAATTGCTGCTGGAAACTCAGCCATTTCAGTCTCGGAACTATCGACAAAGCGGCAAGGAATCTTCGTTGCGTACAGGCCATCATGTTGCACGTGATCTGGCCCTTGAGCTCTCTCTCTCTCTCCCTCTCTCACAAGCCCCGGTAACCTCTTCCATGTAGAAGTAGGTCTGGAGTTCTTTCACCTTCATGGCCGACAGGTTCAGACAAAAGCCCGGTAGGAACACAAGAGATCAGTAACAAGCACAGAGAAGCCAACATCTTTAGAAGAGTGATCCACAATTTCGGTCGAATACCAGAGGAAGCCGCGCACAACCAGCAACGGTGTGATTCATGATTCCGTCACCTCCAATATGCGCGGAAGGTCTTTGTCAGCGTCCTCCTCTCAGGTGCATGTGGACAAGCGACCCCATGAGATGAAAGCCTGGGTCCTGCAGAAGGGCTTCCCGGATTTGCGCCTCGAGCTCCTGCACTGCAGGGGATGTAGGGCCTGCGATTCGTGCAGCCCAGCCGCAGGTTGCACGTGGCGCACACCAATCTTTCAAGTGAAGGTCACCGGGTGGGTTTGGGAGGTCCTCAGGATTCATCATCGTCTGGTCGGCCATGTTGCCCACCTACAATGGGGCTCAGCTGCACTAGACAGCTGGTCACAAGCACGAAGCATCCCCGCAGCGGTTGGCCCATCGGACAGCCCGGCCTCTGAGTGTGTCTCCAATCGGTGCGACTGCCTGAGCAATGAGACAAGCGGCTTACACAGAGCACGAAAGCACCAAGAAGTCTCTTCCTCGAAATGCCGGATCTCAGCTACACGCGGGCTGCCGTCTGGATCAACATGCACGAGGACCTAAGAATTCCAAACACACACATCTATGAAATTGCCGGCATTAATCAATGGGGCGCCCATAAGCTGTTCGCAAGTCGAAAACCAAATCAAGATTGAAATAGGAAGGAAAGGGGTGACAAAGCGCCCCGCGTCCGTGACAATTGGGTGGAAGTCACGGATGACCTGGTCATGCACCGCCTGCGCGAAGTGCAAGAATCTTGAGACGTCAAGGTTTTATGTTCTGTGCCATCCAACAACGATTTTTCAGAAACCCACCTGCAATCGCAGGAAGCTGGTCAAACAGAAACCGGAACTGTGAACAAGATATCTGCACTCTCCTCTGCAATCATCGAGGCCGCCGATGCCGAAATGCGAGCATCCACAACAATGGTGACATCAGCCAAGCAGAAGCGGCCCATTCGTCGGGTCCTCTTTGGTGAAGATCACAGACCGTGTGGGGCCAGTGTCGGATATGCCGGTAGTCACAGTTCCCTAAACCCTAAACCTTCCAGACCCTGCCCCCCCCCAGCTTTAGCACAAGCCGTCCTCAATGTGTGGCTCCTGACCTGACAAAATTCGGATTCTCAATGTGGGTAGTTCTCTAGATTAGGGTCCCTTTTTTAAATCCCCAATATAGTACGGCACCCTTATAAAAAGGACCCTAAAAGGGACCCTAATTTAGAAAACTACCCATGTGACAAGGTGACATCTACTCTCCAAAGCTTGGGCTTTGCAGGTTGGAAGAGGTTGCCATGCACAAGCGCTTCCAGGTGTTTGTGCCAGTTGCGAGGGCTATGTTCCAGTTGGATCCTACAACCACGGCATCGTCAGAACACGACTCCTTCTACTCTAGATTGCCATGTGCAGCTGCTGCCGAAACAAGAGTGCCCTCCGTCCATAGACTCAGGTGCCGACACCTTGCACAGTGCCGATATTCCTGCCACGTTTAGTGCGGAGTTGGCGACTGCAAGTGGCAGGCAATAAAACACTAACGGAAGCCAACATGCAACGCAAGTGGCATTGCCGAACCTCTAAACCAGTGACAAACACGCGTCCACACACGCCTACTGTGTTAAAGCAGCGGGTCGAACTTGGTCTTGTGGTTGTGTTCTACAGAAGTGTGTGAATACAATTCTCCCTTGAGCTCCGTCTTGTGACTCTACCGTGTGCCAAAGTACGCCGACCTGGAAAGAGCTGCTCCGTAACAAACTCCGGACGCCACATCTGCAGAACCTGCACGTGTGAAGACACATGCTGTCGCTCCATACGCTAGGAGAGCTTTGGTAGCCATCGGAGTATCAAGTAGTTTGACGTCCACAAAGCAGGATAGTTTGACCAAGGCCGAGTGCGATGCCATCTTCCGACAGATACTCGAACTCACCCGTCGCGTGGTTGTAGTCCTAGTTGTGCTTGGGCATCACATGCTACGGCTAGTGCTGCAAAACGGCGAGTGTACCAGCTTGGCAGACCACGATGAAATGAGTTCGGGTGTGAGCAGTCCCAGAGTTAACTCCAAGTTCGGGTTCGAAGTTCTGTTGGTCACTTGAGGGCCTGAAACACGCCGGCTGTAGGTGCCTGCACTTCTGACCGGCTGATCCAGGGAGCATGAATTGGTCCCGAACCCCCATCCCACAGAACGATATAGGCGTCCCTGAGGCCCCTGCAAGCAGATCGTTCAAGCCTTGAAGGCGTGGTTTTCGTGTCGGTTCGAGCATCGGCATGGCAAACACAGAACAACAATCTCAGCCTACACAGACACACTCCTAAATGCGTGCATATGTCACAGCATCACACAGCAATGGTCCACACTAACAATAATAGTTGTAGAATGACACGTCCGGAATCTGGAGCAAGCTTTTCATTGCCATAGGCTCCTCCCCATGTCCACTTTTTTCGCATCGTTCTGTCACTCATCAGGCTGACCATGCAAGTGGAGTGTCCCAAGATCACTCGGGATATCTGGAGAGTGCAGAGCCGGATGCAAAGTCTGCAGTGCCCAACCAATGCCCAACTTTGCAATGCAATTGATGTAGATGCACTAGCACTGGGAAGTTCCCACAGGGGCATGCAACATGACTGGCAACTCCGTTTCCGATGATTCGGATACACACTTGCCATTCGACGGACCATGGCCGCACTTCGCGTCATACTGTCATACTGCCATAGTGCGCGACAAAGCTGCTGGTAGCTCTCGAGCGCAGATGCATATGGGCCGTGTGCAAGCAGAATTCATGCATGTGAATTAACTATCATTGCAAGTCCGCCGCGAGCATTACCTCAGAACACGTTGCCGGCACTGACCCCTATCTCAGACCCTGGAACTTTCGATCATGACTAGAACTTTCAGCGTGGATGTGCAACTCAGGAAGTACAGGTCCGAAAGAGCAAACTCAATCGTAGCAGAGGGTCTTGGACAAACTCTGCCTCTCCAATTGTGCCGCTGCTGTTTTGATCGAAGTACGCAATCATCCTTTCCAGCCTCAGGTGGAGGAATACCGGGATGACACGGTTTGACATTGCTTTTTGTCGTGGTGTTGGATCCAGCTGAACTTTCAGTTGAACTTCGGGGACTTCTTTTCCTAGAGGCCGCTTTGTCAGATAGGGCCGACATTTGCCTCTGAGGCCTCTGAGGCCATGCAGCTCATGTCGGGTGACTTGTTCCGAGCTGGGGTGCTACAGTCTCTGCCGCAAGAAAGCAGCAAGATCCACAAGGAGCGGGCATTACGGAAAGCTTCCGGAATGTGCGCGAAGGCGTAGTCAGTCTACGGTAAGATCACCCTCCAAAAGCTGCCTTAGGCAGTGGCTCCTCTTCTCGGAGAGGCAACTCCGCCTCCAGCCGGGGGGGAAGTTGACATCTTTTCTGCAGTTTCTGACTCCGCGAGGACTTTCTGCTAGCATTGGAACGAGTACATGGATGTGCTCTCGGTGTGTCTTTTGTAAGGCATTGGCAAAGTTACAAACGATGTGATGGATCCACTGCCTTCGGCCACTGAGAACCTGCCCGTATTTGTAGACTTGGAGGGATGCCCTCTCGACGCGATGCGAGACAAGCAGACGCAGAATCAGGGCTATGGTATGACAAGTCATACGGAGTTCATCACTTCTAGTGCCTTGAACCCCGGCCGAGAAAGTCTGCACCCCAGTTCCAGATTCCTAGGCTTACCTTGAGCCGCAATCATGAACCCACCGGCAAGCTGCCTCTTTGCTGGCACGGCGCAGATCCCGCAGCCCGATTCTGCCAGAACCCTCCTGGCAGGCAATGCACACGCGGACGTTCCATGTCCTCTTATCCACAATCCAATCTGTAGAGCATAAAAGACTGGGAGGCATCTCCCGCTCCAGTGGATTGCAGTGTAGTGGGTTTGATGATTAGACAGGTGTCAAAACCTTTTCGGGCACGGGTCATCACCCACAGCAATTGATACCAAGTACATGGCAAAGCCGGAGCTGGCTGCAACAGATCATGCCGATCATGCCTGCTCACGAAACCTAGCTGTTGTCCAATACTGCAGCAGATCTCCAATTGCCTTGTCAAAGAGGCGAAACCTGGGAATGTGGTGAGGCGGCTTTGCAAATTACGCTGCAGATCAATCAGTCCTGCTCGTCAACAGGAGGAGTGACATCCATGTACGAAGCACGACCACCCCACGACCCAAGAGGCACAACAAATCACCGTCATTCACCGTCCATGCATGGGCGCATCTCGCTAAAGGCTGGACGTACTCAGCTCTTTCAACACCGGCTAGAGAGCTGCATACCAATATTAGGCTTGGGGCGCGCTGCAACAGCCAAGAGGCGTTTTCAGCATAGTCGGAAGAGGATCCTGCTCGTGAAACTTTTTCCAAACGATCTGCGAAAAAGACGTGAAGTCAAGCACCTGAGTGTCGGACTCAGTTTGCAGCTACTAGGCGCATGAAAACAGTTTCCGAGAGTTTGATATGTTTTAATGGCACTTGCACGACTTTACAGTCACAAGGCTCCATCGGACAAGATCTGCCCTATCAGCCTAATCCAGGCAAAGGCACGCTATCGGCATTCAGGCCGTGCGCCCGCATAGCTGCCAATACATCGGCTTTCCTGGAAGGGCATCGGTGTTGCAGGATTCTCTCTAGTTGACAGGCATGGGTTCTTGATCTCTAGGATGCATGATGCGCATATCTTTGATCTGTGTCTGCTCCAGCTGCGTCACAAGCCGACGAAGCATGGCTCCAGGTCTACAAATCCAGCGATAGCATGCGCTAGTGTGTTCAAGAAGCATGGAAATCCAAGACGTTGTGGATGCGGCATTCAGTGCTAATCTGACCTGAGAGCATTGTGAGAGCATACAGCATGTTCCACTGCTGCGCCCACCACCTCAACGTTTCCAAGGGCCTTCGTCCACAAAAAACTGTAGCCCGAGGAGCTTGGCCGGCAGCTCCAGGGCACGGAGGGATGCCTTCAGCTCGTGGTAGCCCACCCCGGCACCTGCTCTAGCTCCGGGCTCTCGATCACCACGTACTACAAGGTTTCGCGCAACAGCTGGGCAACAACTTGCTCTGACCACAGAGTGAGGACGAATTACAGCAAAGGGATGACCTGTCACAAGGTGGGGGTTTCGGAAACTAGGGGACCCTAACATAGTACCCTAAATAATAGGATCCCTATTATAAGGACCCCAAAATAAGGTACCCCTAATTTTCGGAAACTCCCAGGTAAGCACCCAGTTTGCAAACTCCCATTTGCGTAAAGAACCTGGCTGAACTCCAGCTGTTCAGCAAGCCGAACAAGCTTCGTGGAGTTAATTACAAGCCCTTAATCCCTTTAGAAATGCCTCCCACGTTGAAGGTGTCGAAGGCAGCTTCGATCTCTTTTTGCCTTTCCTTTGCTGCAGCAACCTTTGCATGATACCTTTATGATATATATATATATATATATATCTATATGTATATGTATATGTATATCTATATATCTATATATCTATATATCTATATATCTATATATATATATATGTACGGTTTGATAGCAAGGTGGGCGGGCACGCGGTACCCAGCGGTGACCGTAAATGTCACTCAACATTTCGGACAATGCAGCGATCTTCTCGGCAGATTCGGCTCTGGATGCTTTTTCTGGGGAGGTGTGGCCCGGATAGCGCTCCAATTTACAAGCTTTGATGACTGACCGTTCAATTGGTCCTTGATGGGTTTTGATCCCAAACCTAGCGAAACCGATCCCTTGCAGCTCCTGCGAAGCTAGATCTTCCTTTCGAACCTCCTTGCGGCCAGAATGCTCTCTGGAGGCTAGTCGATGCAGCCATCGCTTTCGGAGACTAGTCTAAGCTGGCTCTTGGGCTTTCGGGTTCTTGGCTTCAGATGGGCCGTCACATCTGGCAGTGTCTTGTACACCTTTGTCCACGATATGCTGGGTAAGCGGAGGGTTGCGCAACCCACGCTGGGAGTGAAGCAGCTTTTGCAAGAAGCGGGCATGCACAGAGAGGCCTCAAGTCAGACCGCTCAGTGCCGACACGACCAGAGTCTTGCTCCTTCGAGAAGGACAGAGCAGCCAGGCGCCCCGCTATCCCGGAGACTGTCAACTGCCGAAACACCAAGCATGGCCTGGTACGCTGCTTGGACTTTGTCTACGGAGGGTAGCATAAGAAACCACAGCACAGGCACGGCTGAAGCAATGTGGGATAGTTATGGGCACGATAGTCTTGATAGCCTTGTAACTTTGTGTCTAAGATCTGCTTTGATGAAAACTGGCGCTCAACAGCTTGGCCATCCGAATCCCTGCTGAGTGGCGGGCGGCTACCACTCCACTGCCTCCACGTCACAGGTAAGAGACCCATGCTCTAATGCCCATCAGGAGCCCCAGGTTGAAAACACCACAAGATACCCGCAGTGCGCTCATGTCCAGAAACGACTGGCTGGCCGTTTAAGGCCCGGTGGCCTAGTGGGTCGAAGCCCTGCCATGCTCCAACCGCCTTGGCTTGCGATCGAAACGCTCGCCATTGACTCCACATGGCCACGCCGAGCCGGACTGGGCCCCCGGCTCCTCCCAGCTGAGAGGCCAAAGCTACTCCAGCCTTCACTCTGTAGTGCTGGTCAAGACTGGATTCTGGATGTCACAGGTCCCCATACCCCTCTGGAGTGCGGTCGGTGTGAGGCGTCCGCTGCAAGGGAATCCGATCGGTGATGCCAGGCAGTGGCTACCTCAGGTAGTGAGTCGGATGACACGAACACCATCAGTTGCAGACTGCCAGCGGAATCTTCAGCGAGGTGACATTCTGCACCGACTGAGGCGACTGCTGCCAAGTTCGACCTCGGGCCATCGCACACTGGCTGACATGACGACAACCGACAGCGGCTTGTGCAGACAAATGCTAGGATTCCAGAAATCTCTGGAATGCCGGGAGGGTCTCCAATCACAGTGCAGCTGAGGACGGCTCTGCACCTGTTCCCCTGCACTGAGCGTTGCTCTGTACAAGGCCTGTCGGCCGAGAAAATGCAGAACAATTAGTGATACAAGGCTTGCAAACTCCTCTATGCCTGCAGCGAGCTGAACGAAAGACAGGCCTCCTTTAGTAAGATGGAGGCTAAACCTCGCAATGAGGATGCTGAGACTGGCTGAGACCCTCCGAGCCATCTGGATGACGATACATCCGAAAGGCTCAGCCGGCAGCCTACCGCGATTGCAGCTCGTCTCGCGCTCTTCTGGAAACCTTCATGCTAAGTTGAATCCACATCTCCGGATGTTCCCCACCGTGTTGCTAGCAGCTTTTTTCCGCCGGGTGCCACGAGTCAGGAGCATCGGCGAGGTGTTGCACAGCTCAAGTTGTTGCTGTGGTGCAATGCTTCTGCGGCTTCTGCACAAGCCCGTCGTCTAGGGGTGTAACACTAGGCGGAACGATCGCAAGCATCTTCCAATAGGGCCACGCCATGCCATGCCCACTTAGGCGCATGCCGATCTCAGCATCCTCTGCCCCTTGAGCAAAGGAACTCCTACTCGTCGCCGCTGATCGCTGTGAGATGTTGCCCCGGGCCGCCTGCTCCTCCGAGCGTTCGCGCTTAAGCCTTTGAGCTGAAGCTTGGAGGCAGACTGCGAAAGCCAGGTCCGGCGGTTGTCCAAAGCCCAGCGGAGCTCAAGCAGCTGCTGCGTGAGAGGCACGGAGCAGCATTTCGATAAAGCGGTCGGCTAAGTCAGACGGAATCGTGTGGCCTCCTGTCAATGTCACGATTGTTTCTACATCAAAGCAACGAAAACCCAGCAAAAGCTTGCCTTGAAACTCATGGTATTCTGCCTGCTGCATCCCAATCCTCAGCTGCACGTGGAGGTTCAACTCGCAGGAGCTTCAGAACGAGGAACAGCATATTTAGATGTCACTGGGGCACTCATCGCGGCAGAAGTCCCGCATCCAGCGACCGCCATTGACACCTCGTTCAGCACAACCCTTTGGCCGCACTATGCGAGTGTACATTATCCACAAGGGTGGCAACTCCTGGGCTACGGGATGCTGCTGGCAAAAGACCGGAGCGAAAATGACATCACGGACGGCACACCCGCGGAACTACTACAGGACAAGCTCCAGTGGCAGCTTTGGCAGTACAAGCAGACACGAATAGGTACTTGGAGGATCATGGGACTTAGTAAGTAAGGTTATAAGTCCCCTAATTGGGCTTATAAGTATAGTTACCTTAGTTATAACCCTACTTGCTAAGTCCCATGATCCTTTAAGCAGGGGGTCTGACAGGAGCCTTTCCGGCTTCATGCAAACTGCACTCTGCTTGGCAAAGCAGAGAGTCTCCGGGTTCCCAGGCCCACTGCCCAGTCTCCTCGGCCGTGGCCTTGAACAAGTGCAAGATCTCTCCAGCCCTGGCCCCATGCGATGTATACGCATAGACGAAGACTGACAAAGATCATCGAAATTTAACAGACTCACACGTGCTTTGCTCATGTATGCGGGAACCACGCGTTGCCGGGCATGCGGTTCTACTCGCAGGGCTTAGTTACATGGCACCTCCTTGGGTGGGCAACGAATAGGAACAGGGCAACAAGCAAATGGCAGCGATGCCTCCAGGAGAGGAAGCCGCTCACGCCACCGCCTCCTAACATGTCACATTGGGGGTAGTTCGAGACGGAAGCCGGGCTGCAGAATGGTACACACAGCTCGCCGAAACTTAACCCGCCGCTGTTGTGAACTGTTAGGGGCTGTGTACCTTTGCCCAGAAAAAGGGTTAATCGTTTTCACTACTGACTTGAAAGATTGTCACACATGTGCGAAGGTTGAAGATTGCCTGGAAAGCGGTGCAGATGCTGAAAGGCGTGTATCAAGATCAGTTCGACTGGTTTGCAAGACATGTGTAACAATGTGTAGCAAGTTAATCGGTTAATAGGTTCCATAGACGCTTTCGGCTCAAAGCGGCGGAATCCAAGTATTTGATCACGCATTCTATGATTCTATTTCTGCTGGAGTTGGGCAGGGGATGGGGTCGGAGTGTGGACTTAGACTTTGGGGAGTCCGGGCATCCGACTTCCACACCTTTCAGTCTTCGAGACAGTGGCAAACGCTGATATACATTGTGATTTCCCCGGAAAAAGAAACAGTGAAAAGCTGTTCTCTCGTCATCAGAACTGAGTCGCTTAGAACGTCACCGCACCTTCCTCATCGAGGGGACGTCACCAAACGATTGCGAACAAACAGAGAGAGAGAGAGAGAGAGAGACAGACAGAGAGGGAGGGAGGGAGAGGGAGGGAGAGAGAGAGGGAGAGAGAGAAAGAGCCGGTTGATGATGGCGACGAGGCCTTGGTGAGCACAAGGATGAATATCATGTTGAAACGCTTGAACCATGTATGATGCCTGAGTCTAAGTTCCCCTGGTCTGCTGATTTGCAGTGCTGCCGTGGGGGGGAGGGGAGGTGGTAGGCCTGCACATGAGCGAGCCCGAGAAGAACCCCAATGCCGCTGGCTTAGCTGGCAGATGCAGAGCCGCATCCATAGCCACAGCAGCACCTGGATGTGGGGCCGACAGAAATCCTCGCTCCCGAACACCACTTAGAGCGGACAAGCAACACATTCTACATCAGTTCCTGCAAAGATGATCTCAGCCCAGCAATTGCCGATAGCTGTGTGGGAGCACTCGAGCGATCTCGAGTGCAGGAAACCCTGAACCTGCAGTCAACACAAAACCTCTGTCAGGAAGCCCCTGAGCCAACCGCACCCAGCTTAACAAGGCTTCTCTTGAAAACTCACAGATACACCTGCTTGTTGAAAAACTCTGCAGCATCTGCAAAGATGAGAGTTGTTCTCTTTACAAGCTGCTCCCGCACCTTGAGGATTTCAGGGCTGCCACCCTCCCAACGCGCTTCTTAAGTTAGGAACCATTTTTGCCGTCAGGGCTGTGTCTCGCGGCGACGCTTCTGCTGGAATTGCTTCATCACTTGTAGACGAACTTCTTCCGGTCGGCCACTGAAGTGCGCTGCAAAGTCCCCTGGCATCCAATGCCCGTTCGAGAGGTCACGCACGATGGACTGGATCGTCCGATGCTCCTCGAGGTACGCATCTTGCAGCCCATTCTTACGCACCCACGCAGCGACAGCATCCTGATCCCACCAACCTTGCCTCTGCGGTAAAAAGGCCTGGCCGTCGAAAACTACCTTCTGCCTGGAGATTCGCAGCAATTCCTCTAGAAACTTCCTGGCACGCCGGGAAGCTCGGAGGCCAAGAATCCCCGTGTTCATCGGCACGCGAGCATCGACGCGAACATCTTTGGAAGCGTAAAGGAAGACGTCCGAGTGCAATGCAAGTATGCTCCTTTTCAGCCCTTCATAGATCGGATCTCTGCCAGGCTCCGTGATGAGAATGTCATCATCAATCCATACGACAGCGTCGTAGAGTGTGGTCCGCAAGAGACGACGTAGAAACACGACCTTATTCCAGGCGGCCGCATAATTGGAGTTAGGCCCCAAAATCGGCTCCTCCTCCACAATCAAATCGTAGCGTCCTTGGTGGTTTTGGCAGAATCGCTCCAAGACTGGCAGCGTCAGCTTCGCGATCTCGGGCCGGTCAGACCAAGTCAGCAGTGCAATGCGTGGCCTTCGGACGATGTTCTCCGTGTAGGGCAGAACTTGCGCGTGAAAGTTCCGCTCTGGATACGTGCCGCAGGGAATGGCGGTTCTGCCTGCTTTCGGAGCATCGCACGCCGCACCTGCCGATGTTCGACACCAGGGTGGGCTGTCAGCCATCAACTTGCATCCCAAGGGGCACTCAAAGGGTCCTCCATAACACGGAGCCACACACACATTTCCAGATTCGCGCTTCTCGCAGAGGGGGTATCCGGCAGGGCAGCCGGTTCCTGTTAGGTCCTCTTGCTCACTGCTGAGGACATGCTTGTCAGGGATCTTCCAGGACCGGTCGTGGAGCTCCAATCCCGTAATTCCAGTGAGTCCCGCTCCAGTGGCCTCGTACTTGGACAAGCGATGGGCAAGCTCCTGCGCCAAGAAATCCAAGGCTGTCTTTCTCAGCGTGCCTGGGCACGGTGCGTGATCCTCCCAAGACAGCCCCGGCGCGTACCGGAGCAAGTTCCGACGCTTCCGCTTCAACACTTGGGGGTCCATGAGCGCTGCTTGCAATAGAAGTCGGTGTGCCCCGACGCTCACAGAATGCTGTGGTTGAGTTGGAGCTTCTATGGTGACGTATGAACTGCTGAGATCCCAGAAAATCGCGAAGCGACTCCAGTGTAGAGTCGCCGAAAATGGTATCTTTGCGTGCGTTGAGCCGGTTGATCCTACAATGAAGGGCACCGTGGCCTTGTTCAACATGCTGTACAATCGAAGCTCATAGCCGCCATCACCGGGCAGCACAAGTCCTGCCTCGGAGCTTTCCCAAAGCTCGAGAGCTCGAGAGCGCATTTTCTGAATACGCTGTGATGAAGAATGGCTTTGGTTCCTTGCCGGCCTGTTCACACTGGACCAGCTGCAAAGCAGGTCAAAGGCATAGTCCGCTTTGCAAATGCCCGACCCCAGCAACTCGTGGGTCCAGTTTGTGAACTCCAGCCGGAAGTCGCCAGTCAGCTGCAATTGCTGCAAAAACGCCTCAGACAGGGCCTGGTTCAAAGAGTTGCGCTCAACCATGGCATTGTAGCTCAGCCCACGGAAAGCAAGGCGATGAGGTCTCGGGCGGCCCTGCGCGTAGGAGGCCATCTTGGCACAGTTGAAGTCCTCATTGGGGACAAGAGGAGGTATGGTGACCGTTTGGAACACACGTCTCTGGCACTGCTTGAAGTCAGGCAAGGCTTGGCGTTGTGCTGGATGAAAGCTCTCCAATCGGTTCACACATCGCTCCGATCTGGCGCCGAAGTGCAGCAAGACAAAGTTCTTGAACGCTGGCCACCTGGTCTCCAACACGAAGTCCGTCTCATCAGGCGGATGAATTGGATTGAAAACCGACGGGTAGTCCACGCCCGCGAACAGAACCAAATGATCCCAGCCTTGACGTCGCTTCAGCCACGGTTGGGACTCGACGAAGTCAATGACGCTCTGCAGGCACGGGCCATTCGAGCTCTCCATTGGCGACGGGATGGCGCACCGTTGGAGCATCAACTGAAAGGGCTTGGCAGTCCTCCAAGGCGGGAGGGTCGCAAGCACTGCTTCTCTCCAAACTTCTATGCCCCAAAATCTCCAGCCGTGGAAGTCCGACGTTGGCACAGCATCTTCAGCACTCGTTCTTTGGACCGAAAGCTGGGAAGACACAGGGAGGAAATCTAATAGCAGCTCCGTCGAAGACATGTCCATGCGAAGAATGCCACCTATATGATGCCAGCGCTGGTCTGTGACTTGCTCCCGGTCGCATTCTGCCACAAGCATCTCTGTGTCGGTACTGATGACGGGACATCCGTATCTCAGGCCCAAGTCGATCCTGGCGCCATTATGACGAAATTTCAGAATCCACAGCATGGGGTAGGCTTCGTTGTCCGCTTGAACGCCTGTGAATTGCAACCATAGACCGAACACGCAACCCACCTGCTGGCAGTGCCAGGCTGCATTTTGGAGATCGGGCACGTCGCCAGGCAGTAAAATCATTTTCTGGTCGGCGTCTACGATGCGTTCTGAGGCTGTGGCTTTGCAGGCCTCGTTCGAAGAATGCCACGAGTCATCCCAAAAGAAGAATGGAGCTGGGATGTAAAAGTGCGTCGCGTTCCAGGGATCGTTGGTGGCCAGTCGCCCGTATGCAAGCTTTCGGTGAATCGGCAGGAGCGGCGGGCGTCCATCGTGAAACGGCTTCCGCCTCAGTGGCTGTCGACCATCAATCTCTTCGCCAGGAAAATGCTCCAAAGAACACGCTGGAAGGCGGTATGTGTAGATGCGGACATCTGACGGACGGACTGATGCAAAAGATTCGGCTACAAGATAATATGCCCAACACAGGATTCTGAGCGGCACGACATTCCGCATGTTACCAACTGAGCCAGCACGTCACCGGCCATCCCGGAGTGCCATGCGCTTCATCGATTCGGTCACCAAGGCTCGCTTCTAGCCTTTTACTTTTCTTGCGACGAGCGCAATAAAGATGAAAAGAGCCTACATACCCCTTGTTGTATGAGAAGTTGGCACTCTAACACAGCCATTCGGGCACATCGCAGAACACAGCTTGGGCCGCGCAAGCTCTGGACTCAACCATTGCCGACAAATTCCGTGCCGGAGTTCCGCATGGATTTGCTGCTTGCGGAAGTGCCGTCAGTTCCGGCCTTGTGAGAATCCGGCCAAAGCCACAGATGCAAGGCTCAAGCCCAAAACATCTCGGGCAGCTTCGATGACCTCTCGTGCCTCAGAGTCGGAAACCATTTCTCGTCAGGTCCGAGCCTTGGTGGCACCATCGCCAGGATGCAGTGGCCCGGGACAGATCCAGAAATGCAGGCTCCCCATCCTTCAGCTGCTCGACGGCACTCCTAAGCGTGACCACCCCGACTTGGAAGCGACGCTTGCTGTCTTGAAACTAACCAAGTGTCTGTTGTGGTGGAGGTGTTGAAGTCGAAGTGGACGCCGACTGGACAGAAAGCTGAGCACGGCTTTGAGGCGTGCCCTCTTCAACAGCCTTCTCCTGGCAAATCCGAATCTCAAAGTCAGAGCGAAGCCATTGCTTTTCAGTCCTTGCCTGCTCCTTCGCCTTCGTCAACAAATCCAGCAGTACATCTTTGTCTGTGCTGTACCTGTGCGGTCGGGCTCTGGCGGACAACTTAGCTTTCGCTTCGACCCGTTGCCTTTCGGGACTTGGTTCAACAGCTTTGTGAAAACGGAGAAGTCACGCAAAGGCCTTGAGGGCTCAACTAGTGGCTTGTGGGAGCACAAACCGGCGCGTGACGGAAACCACAAGGTGCCTGTGTTTTTGGTTGGTCACGTAAATCTTGTCTGAGAACTACGTACGCTTCCCGAATATGGACAACACGGCCCACTCGAAGAACAGCCGGCAAGATACCAGAAGTGGACCGTTCCATCCCGTAAAGGGCTTGCAGGCAGCACCACCGCCACTCCCGCCGAGAGGAGGCTAAGGGCGCGAGGAGGGGTGAACAGCCTCTCCTGACGAGCATGAAACTCATCAATCGGCACTGTGTTGTGCCGGCAGGATCAAGCCTGCAACATGCGCTCATTGAGGCCATAGCTGCCAAAACCAAACCTCGAACCCCATCCACCCCAACCAAGTCCTGCTCCACGCGAAAAGGGGTCCCACTCCCGTGGAAAAAAATGAGAACGAGGTTGAGTGGTCCTGCTGTCAGGAATTCAAAAATCAGAGCGGCGATAAGTAGTCGACCCCGAGGCTCGACAACAGCGGTCTTTCCCGCTGGCCTGACGGTTCAAGAACTCGGCATTCGACGTTGGCGAACATCCGTGTCTGCCACTGCAAACCTAAACTAAGCCAGTGTCCAGCATTCCGCTCAGGATCGACAGCTCTTTCAGCAACCACATGATTGTCTGCAGACTGGCCGACACCCCTCTCAAGCACAGCGAATTGACTCATGCGCAGTTTCGGTTTGCCATATATATACGGGACCCTGGATATATAATGCTTACGTGACTCGGCAGCCAGGTGGCCGAGCTCTGGATCCGGGTTTGGATCTGCGTCCTCCAAGGAATCGAAGTCGAACATGGCCTCCCTGCATCTCTCTTCGCGCTGCACCCTCCTGCCCTCACCGAGTGGATTATAGAAACTTTGGTGATCTGATTTTCTGCGGACCCATGGACCGTTCACATGGCTTTCTCGGGCCTCCTTCCCTTGAGCCAGCAGCTGAGGCCAAACAGCAACACTAATCAAATCTAATCAATGGAGGCTCAAAAGTCCGGAGTCGATGCCACTTCCTCGAGCTCTACTGACTCTACTGCTTTGTCAGTACCTCACTAAGTCAGCTCCGAAGGCACCTGCTTTGGACTGGTTGTCGCTGCCATGCGCCTGGCTACGGATGTATAAAGCTTCATATTAGAGTCAGGCTTGTGAAAACAGTGCTGCCGTGCTCAGGTCAATTCCGCAAGCTACAAAACACGGACCTCTTCCGTCGGCATCGGCGTCGCGTCTTTGGCGACAGGCTTGGCATCTGCCAAAGCGAAAGGCAAAGCTTGCTCCACTTCCCGCGCCATTGCTTGCTTGCCGGGTTCGCCTCCTCGACCGTGCGCCTGCTCCTTCAGCAGCGGCGCAAGGGAGACGATGCTGTCGTAGCCTGAACACTGCGAGCTCAAGCATTACCAGGGAAGCAGTACAACTGCAGTGCGAAGCAAGCACGAGTGACCGAGCCCACCGCCCATTGAGAAAGCTATGTACAAAAGAATGCCAGTAACCTTGGCCCAGCAGTTCGTCAATCTGCAAACTAAGGCATGTTGCTGTGAGAGCCAATGTGCAAACCATCTTCTGCCGCGCTAAACGCATGGATGTTTTGTGGTACAGCTACTCAGCAGTCCCGTGCTTGCCAACTCCCGTTGCCAGTCAGACTAATTTAAACTAGTTTTGGCCTGTCACATCCCGACAATGCCGGCTGGCATGTGCGACGTCAGCCTCGACGGCATCTATCCGAATCTATCCGCCGTTTGTATTACACCGACCGGGCTGGGGTAGGCAAAAGTCTACTAAGGAGCGCCGACAGCTCCCATGGACTCGATCTTGCCATGGCCCCAGGGATGCTCCTCGCTGTGGCATCGTGTTGCGGCTGTCACATCGGGATGAGGTGGCAGGACATCCTCACACACCAGAAGCTTTACCCCAGCACCTCCTATCGACCGTACAGACCGTGAAGCGTTGCTGGCTCAGATCGACCAGGCATGGCTGGCTTCAGCCTTGTCGGGAGGGCGCGCAGCTTCCGCATAGGCGAGCGCTGTGACCTGCTGAGACGTCATTTCTCGCACAAGATGCGAGAATTGCTGCACGCGACGGTGTGGACTCTTCAGCTCGGACGCACTGCGTAAAACGACTTCGAGGCACAAGCGATGGTGCAACCTTCGATGATTGTAGGGGTCACACCACTTCGGCGGCAGTGTCTCCCAGTCCATGCACGGCATCGGCCATCAAGGCCTCCCAGGACGGCTCTCAGTCGTGATGTAGACAAACTTGCCATGTACGCTGTTGGAACTCAAGTCGAGCCTTGTGATGCACGGTGGCCTGCGCAAGGCCCATCTTCGTGACGGACAGTGCCTCCCAGAATCCGAGGCGACTGCACTACTTCCCCACGTAGCGTCCGCTCCAGGCTCTGCAGTCCATGAGCATCTGCTCTGAGCCACAGGCCACATTGACCACGGAGCCGAGCCAAAATAAGCTCATGATGTCCTTGGCTGCTGGTGGCTTTGACGCTCCAGACCATGCAGCTGGGAACTGTGTTGCTGCATGCGGGTACCGGTACTTAGCCTAGCATATCCTCGGGAGCTGGCATCTACCTGGAGGATGGCAAAAGCCAGCAAGAAGACCTCGGGCAAGGCATCCAACCTGGTTCCATGACTGCCACATGGGCTGGCTGTCCCCAAAACCGAATCCTGGTCAGCCTGCCTTCTTGTCTTCCCTGCCTTACAACTGCCGGAAAAGTGTACTGTACCGGCTTGCCGGACCGACTGCCTGTCTGAGCATGCTGCAGTAAGCGAAACTGCAGACCAACCTGCCAAGTGAATCGGTCGAGGGGGAAGTACTTGGTCGTAAACCAGCAGCTCCGTCTGCGCTCGCTGCAATCGCTCTCAAATGCAAGCAAGCCAAGCTTCTGCGAAAGGCGGAAGGGTGGTACCGTAAGAAGCCACCCCTCCTGCCTACGGGGCCTGTGTCCGAGCGCTGTCTACGCTTGGATCGGAGGGTAGTTTTGGGGAACACCTGAAGGTCTCCTATAGAGTTTAGGGTTTAGTGTTCCTATATATAGGGTGTAGGATTTTGGCTTTCGAGTCACACAGGATTTTGGCTTTCGGGTCCCTGGACAACCTTACTTAAGGGGTTCTATTACAGGGGTGCCCCTTCGAAAGGCCAAAAAGATGAGGGGTTTAGAAGGCTTCCTTTAATAAGGCGCTCCTCACATCCCTGAATTCAAAAATCCCGTCTGTGGGCACGCGCTCTAGCCCCACCTTCAGCCTTCGAAGCCATCCTGTTAGCCCTAATTATAGGCTGGAGCAACATGAAATGTGGCCTGCATATCGAATGGCCGGAGGCAGGTGAGGAACTTCCTCAAAGCAGCGGAGAACACTGCTTCATGCTGCTACAGGCTACCAAACTCGTGTCCGCGACCTCAATCACACAGATATTGAAACCGCCTTTGAACTTCAGCTTGCATGGACATGACCTGCTGAATGCCTGAAAATGAGCCACGAAGCCGTAGTCTGGCTCGCCTGACGTCCAACACCCTCACATGCCAGGGCCCGCACGGCCGTCTCAGAGCCGTTCATTCCGCAACGTGCTGCAGGTCGGCAACGAGGTGCAGGATTATCATCGACTGAATCTGGCTTTCTGGAAGGCATTCTTTGCCGGCAAGCTCGGCTGAGCGGGGTTTACGAGGAAAACGCTGACAAGGTACCAAGGCTCACCTAGGATCTTTTGTGCCTGCATTCATGTTGGATCCCTGCCGAAGCTGGCCAGGATCGGGCGGCCGGCAAGGCGAACAGTGTTTCTGGATAGGCAAGGCTAACCCAAGCTACCTAGTAACAACCAGCTCCAGTAGCTTGTTTTGCATCCACACGCGGTAGCTGGGTCAGACGATGACAACAGGTGGGCACCGCAATGGCAGCAAACGCAGCTTCAACAGGAACTCCGAAAGCCGTCGAGGCCAACTTAAGCATCTTGCTTACGGAACCTCCTGCACCCACTTGTGGCTCGTAGTATACGGCTGGACGCAATGTACAGGGTCACGCTCTCTTTCGTAGACTCCTTCTTTGCTGGGTCCCACTGTCTGTCCATGGCTTTCTGCCAGTTCTACCATGCTCGCAGCTCATACCCAACTAATCACAGCCAAGACGAAAGGCGAACATCGTGGCAATGGCACATCCCACAGGGGTCCCAGCAAAGCACATTCACGCACGTGCATGACGGATATGCACATCCCGCTCGGAACGGGCTTTTTCATTTCTACAAACAACCTGAGCTGCAGTCACAAGGGCGAGGCAGCAATGCCACAGGGCCTGCACTCCCAGGACTTCAACTCGAATTGCCGTGCAGCCTCTGGGGGGGAAAGGCTCGAGCAGGATGTGAAAGTGTTCGTATCACCTGCTAGGTCAACCAACCGCTGTACATCCGCCCATCCACCGAATCTTGGCCCTTTGGTTCGATTGCAATTTTCGAACCAAGATACTTAATTGAACCTTCGTCAGCACGCCGAGTGGCTGCTTAGGGCTCCGCAATGCGAGCGGAGAGCCTTTCTCCCGCCTGCATCGTTGTACTCTGGAACTTTGTACATGGTCTGCGGAATTCCTGGGCATGTCGCTCGGAGATCTCCCAGAATCTTCCGAAGGCATCGGTGGCATCGCCTTACTCTTCCAACACAGTCCCCAGAAGTTCCTGTGGCCAGTCAGAAAGAAATCAGCTGCAAGCTGCTTACGAGCGTCAAACCCACACCTTTCCACAGCACCTTTCATTGGCACAGAACTCTTGTGCAAATCTAAGACCGTTAGCAGCAAAAGGTGCAGTAAAAGGTGCAGGACGGAAGATCCCAAGCCCGCCCCCTGCTTCTGCAGGGTCTTGACTAGCTGAGTTCGGGGAGCAGGGGTCAACAGCACTCCATGCTGAATCTTCGCATTCGCATGTTCAGGTCTGATGGAACACGGTGTGAACAGCTTGTTATGTACCACCTTGTCGTTGACTTTAGTACCGAGACCGACAGGTAGACGTCTCACCCAGGACAGCTTGTGCCGACGCCATGCGAAGCCCTGAGGAAACCCCTGCATGCATGAATTGCTCCAGTCTTTGCGCGATCTCGCAGCATTGGCATGCACGGACATGTCCGGAAGATAGGAGTCACTCTCACACCAAGGCGAAACCAAAAGCTATGATTCGCATCTTGCAACGGCGTGGGAATACATTCCGCAGACGAAGCCATACACTCAAGCAGATTTTCTTGTCGGTGACCTCGACTCTCCTAACGCAAGGGTCCAACTGCAACCGGCTGCTGGCTAGGCAGCAGTGCAGTACGCCATCAAAGTTGATCATTCAGGTTGGTGTCTGAACCCATGCCGTCAGTATATTGAACAAGTCGCAGCTGAAAGACCCTTGAGAAGGCTTTGCATTAGGACGCAGTGCGATCAACATGCAAGCTATGCTCAGAGCGTGAAGGACTCAAAGTGCGATCGGCCTCACCGAGACAAACAGAAACACAATTGACAGCACAGTCTTCAGAGCAAGGTGCTCGCAGCAAAGGTTGTACACTCGGCTGCAGTGTGTCACAAAAAGACCTTGTGATTGTCCATGAAGGCGCTAATCATCACCAACCCTGATTATCTTGCTTTAGCAACCTTTCCCGATCCACGAGCACAGCTGCACATTATACCAAGCATTCCCATGAGTCTGCGTGGTTGATGGCTTGCAAGGCCAAGCCAGCACGATTTCAGCTAGAAGCTGCATTGCGAACTGAGAGGCCCAGCCTATATGTCTTTCACTAGGCACTTCTGCTGAGAGCTCGCGCGCAGGTTTGTCCGCGGGCGGTGGCTGCCGGCCCGCTACCGACGCCCAGCTTGCAGGGTACTTGTACCTCCCATCGGAATCGCCGGCGGGCAAAGAGACTCCGTCAACTCAAACTACTATGCGATACTGTCATAGGTGTGCAGTGATATGCACAATATACATCTACACCCCTGCTCTGAGATGCTCTCATGATCCAGCCGCTATAAAATGCAATTCCATGTGAGCGTCTCCATTTGTAAGTCGAAAGTAGGCTGCACACGCAGCTGCTGCCACGCGTGCAAAAAATCTGACAGGACATTGTGTGGCAATGTGCTATTAGCGTGTTTCGACAATAGGTGCCATCGTGCACGCTGCCACCCTTACTATCTGACTGCGGACTTTGTGCCGATTCTTCGGCGAGATTAAAAGCGCGGCATCTTACCACAGTGCATGTAAAGCTTGCCCTTCGGCCTCAGCGCGTTGCAAAGCTCATCCTCAGCTTCAGAACCCATATGCATGCGCCGTTGCATGTACCGCAACCGACGCCTGACTCGCTTGCTGCAGCATGGCTCCACCAAACTCGTCTCATCGTCGCTGGCGTCGGGCTCCAGGGTTAACCGACGCGCCTTCCGTAGGAGTTCTTGAGCAGCCGAACGGGGACGAAGTGTTGGAGGCTCCCAAACAGTCTCGGT